CTGGTCCAGTAGCAAAACTGAATGTCCATGTTAATTTATCAAAGTATTTCCTAACCAAGTCCACAGCCCTAACATGCAGTTTGGTCAGTGGTCTGGAAGGGTGGGCTTGCTCGTGCAGCTGTAGCAGGACACAAGCCCAGTTCTACAGACAACATCTTCGGGATTTGGAATCGCCTGTACGAAGTCAGTATGCAGAGGTACAACTAGGGCCTCAGCTGCAAAGTTGTAGGACCAGCTCACAGTAAGTGGATGACAGCATATCTGTAAACAATGACCATGTGATGGAGCCTCTTCACTTTCTGCCTGGTAACCACTCTGGGTTGGGCAAGACCATCCTGCTCTCAGCATCTGTAGGAAGCACTGACCAGATCAGGAACCTACGAGACGGTAAAGGCCCATTAACTAGGATGGGCTTTACAGGAAAGACACACTGCACTTAAGTTTTCCAAAATTCTTACTAAAGGTGTTCCAGAACCATCTTTTCATCCTGGGATCTGCTTAGAGCATTCAGGTGTACAGTTGTGTGATCAGAGATGCTACTTCCCCTGGGGCCCTGCCAGCTCAGCAGATGAGTGCATAGATGGGTTCTAACAACAGCTGTGCTGCACAGCACATTAAGAGGGCTCAGTGAGATGGCCCTGGCAGAGAGCAAGGCTGGGACTCTGCATTCTGAGTGTGTTCTAGCAGCAGGCACAGGCTGCACGTGCACACAGTGATGAGTGCTGCTGCTCTACAGGTGTGGCCTCTCACAGCAGTTCCTAGTGCAGTACTCTCACCTGGGTCTGTCTTCACTGGAAAGGGCTGCAACAGTGCTGAGCATCCTAGGAACGAAGGGGCTTTCAAGTCCCACACTAAGCAATCCTCTTTCTGCCTTCAAAGTAAGCTCCCATCAGCACCCTCTTAGGCATGTTACAAAGTTTGCCAGCTATCTCATTTCTTAACAGATACTATTATTACTCTTTTGCACCTAAAGCTTTTGGCCAGAGCAACCAATTTATGGAGGTATTGTACCCTGCCATCTTCATTCTGATGGGCCATCAGCTTTGTTTAACCTCACACCTGGTGCATGTGCAAGAAAGCTCTTACTTTTTACTCCTCTTGAACAGGAGTATTTGTAATTTAACAAGTGGGTTAGTAAAACTGTTCAACCAGTCACAAAATGTTTTTCCCAGAGGGAAGAGTGAGCTGCAGCAGAAGCACAGTGCTGTTAACTTGCTGGGGTTGTGGTATGAGTGCCACAAGAGTTCATTTGGGCCTTGGTGGTGCAGCCAGTTCATCCCTTTGCTTTCCTGCTAAGTAGCCTGAGCTCACTGCATGAGGGTGTCTCTGGCTTCTGATAGGAAGCCTCAGAAGTGCCCTGCAATGCAAGGCACTGTGCAGGGAGATTCCCTTCACAAGCCTCATGAAAATCTGAGCAGAGCCTGTAGGCTTTTGTTTCTTTCAATATATTCTTCTTTCCTTCCATTTTTCAAGTGACTTTGGATAAGAGGGAATTATTTAAATACAGGTACCAGAAAGCATAGGCCCTAGTAAAAACCCTCTCTGACCTGCAGAGCTCCACACTCATTTCTCCTGTTCTCTCACAACCCTCAGGCCCAAGCAATGTGCTTGTTGTTCCAACAGATTGTGTTCTCAGTAGCTCTTCTTGCTCAGCAACGCTCCAATGTTATATTTGGTGACTTCCTAACCTTTCTTTGTATTTCATTTACCCATTAATCTATACAGAAGACAACAGAGCAGAAAAACTCTCCTCTTGGGAGCAATGTCAAAACTTCAAATATATTGTCAGAAATAGCTGCTGCAAGGGTAATCCAAGATGAATCCCAGAAAATAGTCAAAATAGTTTCTTCCCTGAGTATACATTCAAAGCCCCCAAATCTTTCTTCTACCCCAGTAACAGCCAACTTCTGTTTTCCCCATGGGCAGACTGAGCTGTTAATTCCTTATAACCATGGTGCCCCTTATACCTCTGGCTTTAGTGTTCCTCTGCAGAGCCTTTATCACACAAAACAGTGGGTGCTGTTCACAGAATAATCTGTGCTGCCCCTTCTTTCCACAGACAGTGTTTATGAGACTAGGAGGTCTTCTGCTCTCCTAATGGGAAGCCTTGCAGGCTATTCCCATTCCCTTTACTACCCTTTGAAAACCAAGGGACCTAATTCCCGGTTGCTTCACTTTTCAATTTGAAAAAATACTCCACAATTTGTCTTGACTGTTAATTTTTGACATTTTCTGTTGCATGCACAATGATGAATGCACACAGCACAAATTTCAAAAGCATTTGCATTGCCATAGTTAATGCATAGTGCAACTAAGCATCTGTTAAAAAAACTAATTAATGCCACCCCACTGCAAAGTCTTAATATTACATCCGATAACTCAGTTGCAACATACTTTATATTGATCTTCTTGCTAGTAAACGTGTGGTTCAAACACCTTCATGTAGGAGCCTACAACGATCATGAAATCCCTTAAAGCAGAATTAATTCCAAAATTTAAATTAGAATTTAGACTTTTTCAGTTCTCTTAACTCCAGTAATTCCTGTTCTGCAAGAACAAGACCATGCAACAATTATGTCCAGTTACCGTGGGAAACACAAACTAAGAATTGTGGTTGAAAGGCATCTTACATAACTGAAAATAGTTTAATCTCTTTGTTCCTTTTAGGGAAAATTCATGAAACAAAAGAAAATGGTTTCCTTTCTGTTGTTTCCAGGAACCAAGCAAACACACATGTCCCTGAAAACCCATTCACCAACTAGTGCTTTTGCCGCCAACACTTCTAATTAAGCCTGCAAAAGCACTAAAAGAGGAGAGGGCAAGCAGGGCAAGAAGAGAGGCAATTTGGCTTCAGTGACAAACTGCAAACAGTTTACAGACAGCAGCTAAAGTACATTAAATCATCTCTTTCATTACACAGCATTCATTACACAGCAACAGCAGGACCCTTAGGTAGTTAAAAAGGAACTGCAACACTCTTCCTGTCTGCTACCGTATCAAAACAAGGTATTTCTTTGCCTCAGCTTCTCAGCAAGGACTGAACTAGTGGGAAACTTCAGAAAGGCCAGCCCTGTGCTCCAAACCAGGCTGCAGCATCCTACATCCAGCAGACACCATTTCCTTGGTCCCTTTGGTTCCCTGAAGCATGGCACAGTGCAGCCCACCCAGCTCTCCTCACTGGTCAAACTGCCAGTGCCTCCCATCAACACCACTCTCTCAGAAAGCCATAGTCTCACCCTTGCACTGTTCTATGTCCCCTGCTGCTATCAGTCATCTCTCACCCCTGATTAATAAAGCTCTCTACACAAAAACTTTAGGTCACATATGGTTCTTAGATGTAACAGGTAGAAAAACTTCAATTTTAACTTGAAATTTCTAAAGCAGGGAGGAGATTTGCTTCTGGGTCATCTGTGGTAGTGTTGGTCACATCTTTCTGTTAGTCCCAATTTACTGCAGTATATGCATTCGTGGTCATTTCTCCTCTATTAACCTGATGAATACTGAATACTGCAACTAAGAGGTTAAAAAAAGTTGATTTACTAGTCACAAGTTCACAATGGCATTTTGGTGTTTTTAAGTTAAGAGGGACCTATTCTAACAGGACTAGAAAATAATGCATTTGTTATGAGAAAGGGAGAATTCAAACCCAACTATATACATAGTCTCAAGGTATCCTCTTACAGAAGCTGCTTTCAGAGAAGTTATAATCTAGCAGTGGAGAATTCAGCTTTGGTCCCCAAACCTTCAGTCACTAGGGGCTGCTTGCACACACTATATGTACTACATACACTGTGAGCTGAATCCAGCAGTCAACAACAACCCAAAGTATTTTCTAGACAGGGCTTTTGGGCTGAGGACCTGGGGACTTGACCCAACTGTTAAAAGCACTTTACAAATCATTGTAATACTTCAAAAATGGAAGCCAAGGCACAAAATTGATAAACCTTTTCAGGTAATTATCTGAAAATATAATCAAGATCACCTGCTTTTTCTTGCTGAAACAACTTTCCTATCTGTTGGTATCATGGTAGCTGTGAAGCACTCTGATACCTCCTGACAAGTCATCACCTGCACATCAACCATCATACATATACACCTGCTTCTCTCCAGTGCTGCTGAAAAATTACCTTTTAAGCAGAAACAGAAAGATTAACCAGCTTTTCAAAATATTAAAAATCAGTATTTTTCAAAATTTCTGGCATTCTTGAAATAAGAATTTCTGTAATGCCACAATTAAAATATCTCCTACATAAGGACTTTCACACACACACATACATATCTATATATCTATCGCTGGTATAATTTTGTTTTTGTTTGAGTTATATCCAACAAAAAGAAAGTTAAAAAGCTGAATGCATTTTAATTTTGGCTTGAGATAACTAACTAGCTGCCATTCTACTTTAACTTTGTCACATTATACTGTTGATTTTGAAAGCCCTCATAGCAAATTTTTATTTATTTTGGCATTGACATGATTTCATTGTTGATGTATCTGCACTACAAACAAATACATTTTATGACATATGTACTGTGACTGACAGAATATATATGTCAACATTGTTTTGTCATGAAAGAGTGCCCAGCTAAAGCAGGAGATGGGGATGAAACCTGGATAACAAAAAGCAGACAGTTCTATCCTTGTTCAAATCACTCTGTGTTCTCAAATTACTGGCAGGCAAAGAAATATTTGTTGGTGCCAAATTATATTACAGCCATCAGTAATAATTAAATGCAAGGACACTGCCACAATACATTGACTGACAATGTCAGTTGACAAATGAAACATGAAAATTATGAGAGGCCAAAACTGAAGTATATTAGTATTTAAACTTAATTGGGCTGGTGATGCTGAAAGCAAAAATCTGGACAACAAAGTCTGTAGAACTAGGTGAGGAAGCCAGAGTCCTGCAATGTTAAAGGCCAGGCTCCCAAAGCGACAGGAGCATTTGTGAATGTCTCAGCACAGTCACAGCAGACACCTGGCATAAATACAAGGCAGATCTAAATTGATGGTGTTTATTTCCACAAATGAACTCTTGTTGACATCAAAAGTTAGCAAGAGTTGTCTTGTCTTCCAGAACACAACCAAAGGTCAAATTCCCAAGGGACACAGACAGGAACATACAGAATACCTTGGCCAACTTCAGTCTGTGCAACTTCACCTGCAAGGCACTGGGCAGGAGAATGAAGGAACAGGAAGACCAGTGCAGGGGGTGGAAGTGGGGGAGGGCAGGGAATGAAGGACAAAGCAGTTTTTCTTGTGCAAGTAACTCCACCTTAGAGCCTGTTCCTACCCAGACAGCAGCTATGTGCTGCAGCCATGCTGTTCCACCATCTGTCCCCTGGCTGCAAGTCTCAGGTGCAACATGCACCTGGTACACATGTAAGCCAAGAATGGCCTACAGGGTTTGGATAGGGACTCTCAAGTAGAAGTGTCCACATCTATATGAAGCTTACATTTATCTGCTTCACAGAATTACAGGGAAACCCACATCATCTATTTGAAAGAGGAATCTTCATGCTGAACTGTCATATGTACCTATAATGGAAATAAATCCATCAGAATAAAGCAATCAACAAGGCTAGACTTGTTTTGTGGTGCTCTGGGTAAGGAATTCGGTTTTTTACTGGAGCACACATCCTTTGCATATTGGCAAGTTCATGATTGCTGTTTTACTCGATGGTTTCCATAGCACTTCCTAATTGGAAGGGGTGCAGATGCTGTCAATAATCAGTCTGACATAATTTTTCTGGCAAGAGATTAACATCAGTCAACTTCAGTCTAACTCAGAACATGCTTTTATCATGTCCCATCTCATACCAATTGAATTCATTACCTTACCAAGTGTGGCAATACTAACTGCTAAAATATTAACATTACAGTGAACTTCAGTTGACCCAAAGGACACATTATCATCTTGACCAACTGCAACTTCATGGTAATTTCTTCAGTGTAACACACATAGTGATGCTTTTCTAGAAATTTCCTGAAAAACAATCTCCTTCAATCTTTCCCTTGTCAATACAGAAGACTTTTTCACACAGGAGTCGCATTACTGTCAGACCTGCCTCATGGTACCATTATGAAACTCACAGTTTGTGCTTTTGCATAGCTCCAACAGTGTTGCTGTGAGCTTTTGACAGGTTTTCCAAAAATTCACTCTTGGCAGGTGCTACCCATAACACAAATAGTTCTACCCATCTCTCCTAATGCTTCAGGAATAGAACTCTCACAGGTTTCTACTGACAGTCACACCCCAAACACAACATGCTCCCATGTTGCTTTAGGGATTTTTTTTCCCCCCAGGATTTCCATTTCCTTCATGCAAGTTTTCTGTAGAACTTTCTGTCCCACAGACATCTCTTAGGGCTATTTTGTTTATTGAATCCTAATGCTCTAACACTGAATAGCATTGGGCTCTGATAACATCTATCCCCTTTAAATAGTTATGGCATTTAATAACCATATTCCATACTGTGTACTCACAGCACCAAACAGTACCAGAAAAAATAAGTGCTATTCTGTACAGAAAACAGCAGGGAACTTAAACCTTAGATACCTTTTTTTTTCCTTCCTTTTTGGAAAACAAAGAGACCAAATATAGCTCTCAGCATTCCCCAGAAGGGTAACACCAAGCCTGCTGCAGTTCAAGCACCACGTAAGACTTTGCTTTATAAAGAAATATCACAGAAGATTCAGCTCCAGGGTAATCTATCAAGAAGGGACTCTGATACTGACAGGTTGCTAAGCTACTAAGACCACATATATATTAAAAATGTTTAGACATCATTTTCCTTTTGATTGAGTAGTAGTTCTTGCTTTAACAAGGAAAAAAAATCAGACAAGTTGTTGAAACAGATGCCAAAGATTTTATACAAGGAATGTCATGGCTGCTTTCTCTTTGTGCATTAACATGGTAGTAAAGCCACATGCATGAACAGCACACAGGGCACAGCCTACAAACCAAGAACACATTGCTCACCCATTAAAAAAATAAAGAATACTTTGAAGCACAGAATTATGCTAGATGTACAGAAAGTCTTTCAAGAGAGGATTTCTACCTACTCATGCCCTTACTTGGACAACTGTCAGTTTATGGCAGACTTTTGCTTACAAAAACATAAGAGAGTCCACTGTAAAATTGGCCAGTATCGAAGGTGTCCTGGAACGTCTTCTAAGTCTACTTGCTTGTGTAGGCTGGATGTTGTTGTGAAAGGACAAACACTTTGTGAGCATGTTCTTTCAGAGACAAAGTGAGAACCGCTTGTTACAAGGAAAGTCAGTACGCTTGTTCAGAAGATAAAGTTCTTTATAGCAGTTAATTTAATACAGTCTTAAAACAGGGTGTTGGGCACTCATCTACACAAGAGCACATTTAATAAGCTGGGGAAAAAATACCACAGTTCCAGGACACTGCATTAAACTCCAACCACTCCAAGAGGAGGCAACTCTCATGTGGTGAAAGAATTCTTGTCTGTATAAGCCAAGAAGGGAGAATTTTAGGCAGTTTAATCCACAATGGTCTCTTACTTCTTATAAGTGGAACCACAAATCCACAGTACATGACAGTATAAGTTAGGTTAAGTGGTGTTTTTCATAATAAAATCAGTGAATTCATTGCAGTCCTTTCATAAAAGGATGAAGTCCAGTGAGTGCCAGCTGCTAGGAGCAAAGAAGGTTCCCATTTTCCAGGTTGATTTGCAAGTTCATATTATTAGAAGAAAGTTCAAATCTGTGCACTTTCTATGCAACCATTTCTGAGAACACAGAGGCTTCAGAGACTACAGGATCACTTAAGAAGTGGGGGAAAAGGAAAGTCATCACAACCCGAACAATTCAAACTTCATATCTCAGAATTGCCTACAAAACTTGTTCTCTTCTTCTGCTCTGGACAAAACTTTTAACTGCAATGATCTTGCAGAGAAACTTTAAGAAAACCTGAGTACATGAAAACATTGTCAGGGAGAGAAAAACCCTGTTACCTTTTGATCTGGTATTGAAGGTGAAATGGCGAAATCAGAATGCTCTGCCTCATGCTATAGGATTTGCTTTACCTCTCAGAGCTCTACCAGTCTCTGCCAAGGAGTCTGTGTTATCTTGATACCTCTTGCACTGCAAGACCATTGCTCATATCAAAAGTTCAAACAAACTTGCTAATAAATCTGGGTTTAATCTTCCATGGCCAGAAGGGCAGCACCTCCAGATGCAGAGATGGTTGAACTACCAGGTGTAATTCATGTATCAACACTGGAGATTCCTGGCAGCACAGAGTCCAAATCTTCCTCACAGGACATCACGATCAGCAAGACATTCCAAAAGAAGAATTAGAAGGCCATAATTCTGATCCAATACAGTAAGGAACATCATCCATCATTTGAACTAGGAATATTCAAAGCTTCAATATTCAACCATATTCTTAATATACTAAATTATACATAGTTGATATATATATATAGATTATTTTTTTTATTGGAATAAAATACACTGGATTTTGGTTTGCTCATTTATAAGGGAGCTCCCTCCCTTTCCCAGTTAATTTGAAATTAAAACCTAGAGGCTGAATGTAAGCTCATTCCCAGCGTTCCAAGATGGATATAACACGAGAGGAGGCCAGAAACTGGAAACATGCACTCTGGCTGCAACAGGTTAGAAGGTGAAAGGGAGACCAGATATTTTCATTTGTAACCCTGAGAACATAAGGAATTGCAAAGATCTGGAGAGCAGCCTGGGGTTAAAGGTCACCAGGCTTTTTATTGCAGTTAAAGCAAACTCGGACTGGGTGATCCCATCCGCGAGAGGGAACCGCTCTGCGGTCGTGTGAGCACTCGTCACAGAATCCCTGGCCACAGGCCCGACAGTGGTGTTTGGAGAGTTTGATACTGAATTCCTTCCGGCAATTGTGGCAGTGCAGGATTTCATGATCTGGTACCCAGTATGCAGGTCGGGCAGCATCTTTTACCAGACCTAAGGAGGAAGTGAGGTGGGGGGATGAGAAAGAGGGAGAACAAAATAATCCATGAACATGAGCATGGAGCCACCCACACACTGCAAGTCATACTGCTGCCATTAAGGGGGAGGTGACCTACTGACAGAATCCTTTGGTGCAATGAGTAGCCATTTAGGACATCCTACCATTCTCCCACCTTCAGCCTCTCTTGCAAGAGTAAACTGTGTCTCTTTTAATCATGGCATCTTGCCTTACTCAGACTCTTCCAGAGGTTAAGACACTTCCCTACCTTCAGTTTCAGCTGTGGCCAAAAAACCCACCAAAGTCACCAAATGAAATATTCAGGAATGCATGTACTGTCTGAACTGAGAAAGGGATTTATTCTGCCCTTCACTGAGTCAGAAAGCAAACATCCACAAAAGTGAAGGCTGGACATGCCATAGGCAAAGCAGCTGAACAACGATCTGCGCATTGAGTAGGAAGTCAGGTCCAAAACCAGAAGATTCAAATGTGAAATGTTTGCTGTTGTACCTAAACTGCCACCCAGCACTTGAAAGAGCAGCAGAGGTTCCCTGCACTAAGCTCACCATTGAAGATCAGACTACTAATTACTTCCTCATCATTACCAACCTGGACAGCTTCAAATTCTCAGCCCTCCCCTCAGAAGAACCAAGAAATACCAGCAGTATCCATGAACACATTTAAAAGGTATTCAGCATCTCTGAAAGAAAACCAAACCTGATAAATTGCTTCCTAATTGGCCAATCTTTAGGGAACTCCAAATGGCAGGTCACTGCAGTGAATCCATCAAGAGAGCATGAATTACTCACAGCTTGGTGTGCAGTTTTGCATAAAAGGGTGAAAAGAGAAAGTGTGATCTGCAGAAACAACATGCTAAAAACCAAGAGGAAACATCAAGCAGAAGAGGTCCAGAGGGCTGTAGAACTTTCATCCAACAGTGGAATCATAGCAGAGGCACCAGCCTGTCACACAAACTCTTTAAGTTTAATAAGAAGTTTTGCTCTCTGAAAATAAAAATGCCTTTAGACAAAAAAAATCCCAACAGAACAGAACAGAACTCACCTAAGGGAATGTCCATGGCTGTTACCACTGCTCCAAGCGTGTTCTGCACAGCTTCCCCAACCTTCCTGGCAATAAGTGTTCCCCCTTCCTCATCTGAAGGCAGTTCAGCCACATCTGCATGAGACAAGAGTGAAGGGCTCAACACCTAAGTCCACCACCCTTTCTGCCAAGTTTCAGCTAATTTACATTAACAAAACAAGCAGCAAACCCAAAAGGCAGGTTGGAATCTCCCAGACTTTATGTTCCCCATCCACAATCTTGGATTGCAGAGTGTTCATTTTAGAAATAATGGACAAAATATATAATCTGCTGTAACATACGCATCCCTGCTCTGATGTTAGCACCAGACCATCATACAATTAGAAAATAATTTTTTCAGTCAGCAGCTCAGGTATCTGGTAGAGTTATCCTTCTTCCAAAAGGCATTGAGCTCTTCAACTTCCTTACCAAAAAAACTGTTTGGAAACCCAGTGTAAACAACACCGTCTTACACCCACTGAGAATGGTTGTGATCCAGAAATCAGGGACAAAGACTTCAGGCTAGTGCCCAGGGATAGTTCTGTCACAATCAACTCAAGATTACCTAACTGGATGCCCCTGTTGTCATAGCAGTTGTCACACACACGCACTGGTGCTGGTCCCCAGCCTCGCTCAGGCACTGGACGGGTCTTGGAAGAACAGCCATCACAGAAGCCCTCTCCACAGGCCCGGCAGTGATGCTTTGTGTCATTATCTTTGAAAGGTGTGTTGCATTTCTTACAACTCTAATCAGAACAACACAAAAGGAAGAACTGTTAGTTTGATCTTCCTGAAGTGAAAAATAGAGAGCAGAAGCCCAGGATGGCAAGTTTCAGCCTGAAATTGTGAAAAATACAGTTACACACGAGACTTGGGTGCTATCAGCCCCGTAACTTTACCCCAGGGAAGTGATTTAGAACGGTATGTGTATAGTGGTTAAGCCAATATATTGCTATGATCCCTTTGTTCACAACTACAAATAAACACAGCCACATCACACAGGGCTGAATGATGGATACTTGACCTTTGTGTGGGGTAAGGATTCAGAAGGCAATTTTCACTGAAAAAGAATCTGTTTCCGACAAGATACAGAGAATCCTTTCCTAGTTCACCTGTTTGGGACAGCTTTTTGCATCTGGCATGAAACCAGAGTTTGCACCTACAAAAATAATACTATCAACTGCAGTGGCCAGATTTAATGTGTTAATTCTTTGCTTTGAAAAACAAGTTCACGCAAGCCAGGATTTTCTGTGATATTGCTGGGAAGTAGCTCACGAAGAGCAGGGAGAAACCATCTCTTTATCAGGGCTGGGCCAAGTCTCTGTTCATAATTTCTCTGGCTAAGTCAAGAATGGGAAGAGGAGAGAGCACTTCATTTTTCTCAAAATTGCAGGAGCAGGGATTGCTGCAGTAAAACAAGAAGCATTTAGAATCTGCAATGTACTTTATTACTTATAGAGTAAGGTAAAGGGGTTTTAGCTAGGCACAACCTTTCTCTCCAGTAGCTGCTATTTACCAGAATCTGAGAGTTGGGTTTCCAGTAAGCTGGGGCAATCTGGTCTGTTAACCAGGAGGTCACAGCTTTTGTGGGTCCCAGGCTAAGTTCAGATACTGATTGAGCCATGAAATTCATGCCATCCAACAAACGCTGGGCTGCGTTGTTGTTGTCTTTCAGAAATCCATCAGTCTGGAATGAAACAGATACTCATTTGAGAATAAGAACAGGGAAACCTTTTTTTTTAAATGCAGATGGCTCTGCAACCCATTACTCCTGTTGAACTGGAGGACAAGCAGGAGAAAAAGATTCACCAGCCCTGCTTTGAAAGACATGAGTAGGTTGGCAACTTAGCCATTTAAAGATAGCCAAAAATGTCTGAAAGCCCTTGCAAAGGCTCTTTCAAACAGCAGGGACCAGCTTAATGAAAGGCAATCTATTTTCTCCATCAACATTCAGAAGAACCAAATTAGCATGTGCATGGCTGCACACATACACAAAGACTATCCAGCAACCAGACTTACCCCCGGCCAGACATGCTCAATTTCTGTCCTCACTACAGTGTTCACAGGGTCTTGGTTGCCAAACCAGTACTGCCGGCTGCGATACACCACCCCGCAGTTGGGGCACTCAATCACGTACCTGCACAAGACAGGCACAGGTTACCTGTCTGGCAGGTCCCATGCACCAGGCAGCACAGAGACCACAGAGAGCAGAGAGATCTCAGCTGCAGTACTCACCCTGACCAGGCATACTTGGCAAGGCCCAGCCAAGGGGAATCTGTGGAAGCAGAGGTTTTTGGCACCACGCTGACCTCCATCCCTCGTTCATAACACGCCTACAACACAAAGACTCAATTAAAACTATGTTCTTGGGAATTTAAATCTACATCTGGCTGATGTTTGGCAACATAAAGCATATAATTAGCACACAGAGGTCCACAGCAAAGGAACACTCATCAGAACTCATTTTTAAAAAAAAACAAAACCAAACCCACTCTCAATAATAACATCAGGGAAGTATTTCTACATCAATAAAGACCATGATGGTAGCCAAAAATTTTCCTGTCTCCTGCACAGGTCCTTCAGCAAAACTGGCTAATACTAAGCACTGGGCATAAGCAAACAAGAGTAACCATGTCAAATATATAAAAGGTCAACATCACCCAGGTTAAGAGCAGCCAGCTTCAAAATTTAGCTAGAAAATTACACATAGCACACAGAAGTGATGAACTCTCCAAGCAAACATACAAGTCAAATAAGGATCATTGTTTCTTGTCAAGGCTATGAGCACCTCTGACATTAAAAATAAAAAAAAGGAAAAAAACAGGCACATGCCTGGGATATCCCTCATTTACTTGGTCATCATTTCCTTTTTCATTCTTCCAACTTTGTCCTTGTATCTCACCTTGCAAGTGTAGACTCTGTTATCATACTGGTGAGAGTATCTGCATCGACTTTTGGATTCATGAGGGACTCCTTCCTTTGCATGGTTCATGCTCTTCTTACAGCCACACCTGAAAATGCAAGAGCAATCCATGAGTTGTTGCTTTTAGACACAGGAGAGATGTCACTAAGATTTCATTTTTATTGCTATCTTGCATTTTTATAGATGTTGTGCCCTCAAACCATCTTAACAATTGTACTTACAGCAATGACATAATTTATTATTGAAAGGCAGGCTCTTCAGAAGGTGTAATAACTGTTTCACATACAAAGCATCACCACACAACAATTCACTGCAGAAAATGCTCAGCATCACAAAAGAAGTATAACCAGCCACAACACCACGCTGTTATACAGCTCCCAGACTCAGAGCATTGACTGCCATCTACTGCCCTTCCAGGCACAATCTTGGGGCTCTTTCCAGAGAGCTACATGCCAAGATCTAATCAAATATGGAGCTCCACTTAGACCTAGTGACTAAATACAGCCCCACTCCATGATGTGTGTTTTAGGATTGTTTATACTATTTAGACAATAAAGATGTCAGAAAAAAAAATCCTAAGAAATTTCAGGGGATTTATTTAGACACTCCTTTCTTCCTGTCCTGCTTGCATTTGGGAAAAGATATGGGCAGCACAGGTTTGTAGCCATGCACAAAAATAGAGTGAGCAAAAAGCATTCATCCAGCTAGGATGTGGCAACAGTGGTAGTCCAGTTCACATAAGAGTTGAATTTCAAGCTACTTCTTCCTGGAAGTACTAGCTGAGGATAGATGATGTCAGGTGTCAAGATGTCACAGAAACTTTACATTCTGTGGCTGCAGGTGAGGACAGCACTATCATCTAAGAGGATGGAGAAGCATTTCTCATCTACCTACCCACAGCTGAGGCACACAGAGGAACATGTGAAATATTCATCTGGAAAGAAAGAGCTGTGAGCCATCTGGTCATCAGGGATCTCCCCACTGAACCGGTCACTTAGAGCCTGTCAAACAAAAAAGAATGAACTGGAAAGGGATTAAGGGTAACAAAGACATTTTGCAAGAAAAAGCATGGATTCCTCTACTGGAGGGGGAGGCAGAGGGAGTACACAGCTAACAAATGTGTCTTACTAGCCTGGAAAACAAAACAAGCATTGGAAACCAACCAAGAAGGCAATCTAGCACTTGTGTGGAAGTGACTTGAATACTTGTAAGATACTCTTTTTCTCTGCTCTCCTCTCCAGTCTCTAGTTTGAATTTTGTAGTAGAAATAGATGGTAGAAAATTGCATCCGCCTCTGTGTATCCAATCCTTGCTCAAAATAGCAGGGTTCTTCCTAAAAGGGCTTTGCATTCCGGAAAGCTCTGAAAAGAAACTTGTAAGATCATTTCTCATAGTTCATTTGAACACATTTTTTGCCTCTTGGCTCAGAAAATGCTGCCCTGGGCTTTCCTCTAGCTACCTGAACAACTGCCCTTCTCTAGTGACATGACAAAACTGAGACAAAGGGATTTGTACCCTTTCCTAGGAACACCCATTCTCAGATTAAATCAGTCCTTAGCCTTGGCACACTTAACTTTTTCAGTTCTTTCAGATATTATGTTTAGGAAAAAAATAAAAAAACACTGGAAGAAAGCAAATGGTTACAGTTTTTCTCGCTGTAGCTCTCTGAAGGCATGAGATCTAGCTGAAACTCTTCCTACAGCTGAGGTTCATGAAGTGGCTGCCTGCCTTTCTCTTCCTCCCCCTCCCCTCACACGGTTGCAGTAGGTGGAGTGGGTGCATCTTTACTGTGTAACAAGGGTTGAATGCACATACAGACAGACTTGTGTATATCTCTCTCAACACAGCTTCCCTCAGATAAGCTCTCAATTTAAACATTATATTTCACATAATTTCAATGAAATTTGCTTTACATTCTCTTTTAAGCTTGACTGATACTGATACTTTCGAATGAACTCAAAAGTTAGAGGAAGTGGACAGAAATCTATAGCAAAACTTGTGTCCTCAGCAAGAAGCAAAAGAAACTAATTTGTAGTCAGTTGTGATTTGAACACAGCAAACACTCTACTGGACACGAATTTAAGTATACTAGCAGCTATATCTGAAACCAGGCTACTTGATTATTGCAATGAAGTCCTAGCAATGAAACTAAAATTAATGATTTCAACTGTTTTTCCCCTTGCTGCCTGTCTGCTCCCTAATGCAAAGAACTGAGTACACGCCACCTTGACACTTCTCTCTGTGCTTCAGCTACCACTAATGCAGAGCAACCAGAATTATCTGTTCCAACAGCTGTGACTAACACCAGAAAAGACTGCTAACACTACCTCCTTCTGCAGATATGCCCCAGCTCTGCCTGCCCCTCCCCAATGACAGCTGTGCTCTTCAGGCCAAAGAAAATGTGATGTTAATCAGGCAGTGGTATATGGAAACTTACAGGAAATTTAAAGACCCAAAAATCCCTCTGACATCCTAGCAAAGTGAACCATCTAAGAAAATAATTTGCTCTGAAGTAATACATCATTTGGCTTGATAATATCCTAGCTACCTGCACGACTCCTTCCTCCTTTTTGCCTCCTAGCCCTTGGGTTATACTACTCAGTGCTAGGTTTTGCCAACTATTAACTCCCTCCAAGTCTCTTGCATTTTCTCCTCTTCTGCTGAGGTCATCTTTAGGAATTTTATAAAAAAAACCCAAAAACCTTCTAAAGTCTCTCTTTGTAAATCACTGTCATTAAGTGACTGTCACCCACAACATCTGTTATTTTTTCTTCCCAACTCAGCTTTATGATCTTGCTCAGTTCGGCTCTTTAACTTTTCTTGACCTCCCATGATCTTTACTAAAATGTTTGTTTTGAAGTGAAAAAAAAAACCTACTCAGCCTCCCTGGCTGTTATACAAAATCATCATTCTCATGGAAGACTTGCATGCAAGTTTGCATCACTGGTTCAGGTGCTCTGCCTTTATGAGCCACAGCTGAGTTAATAGCAGCAGTGGTACAAATAAACACTGTGACAAACTCTTCTTCACTTACTTTTAGTGCTTTGTAGATAACCCCAGGCTGTCTGGGTGACCGAGTAGTATTGTTCTCCAGCTGCTGCTCCACAGCTCGCCTAAGCCCAGAGAAATCTGTTGGAGGATTGTATGTCCTTGTTCCCTTGTAGTGAATTGAGCTGAAAGCCTCAGGAAAACAGCTTAGCTTCCGAAACCGATCCTGAATGAGCTTCTCAGGAACCTCAGAAGGATGATCTATGTATAAGAGTATCAGCAAGTTCATAAACAACTGATTGCTTAAAACAGTACTTTAATTGCATAGCACTTTCATATGCAATACAGATCTAGTTTTCTTAATTAAATCTTCTAATACATCTGCATGCAGCTATCATTATATTTTAAAACAAAGCAAAGAAACAAACTTTCCAAAAGCAGTCTCTGTTTTGTGATTCAATTCCAAGACCAAGTTTCTCAGGTAAAACCAGACACAGATTTTGAAACACAGATACCCAGATTAAGGAGCAAGTTAGGACATACTACAAGGAAACACAATGTCAGCACGTTTGTTAGCTCTTCTCACCCAACCATAACTTGGTATAGCTATTCCTAGCACCTGATAAGTGGAGAACATGAACCTTACATGGGCTGCCTGTTCTCCATGCCAACCCCGTAGCAAGGAAGACCAAGCCTTTATCAACAATTTGTACATGGCAAAGCACTTCAGAACTGGCCACATCAGGTCAAACTCCACAGAGCGAACCACATTCTCCTGCCTGCTTCCAAGTACCTGCTGCATATTTCAGAATAAGGCAGGCCCTATCTTCCCTCCCTTAAAACTACACAAACACACTTATCTCAATTATCCATTGAGAAAGACGATTACAGGTTTCTGCATATCCATATGCTAAGAGATTTCTTTCCTATTCCTACTGTGATCAGAAGTGACCGTAAAAATATATTATTTTTATGACCCTGACTTTGCATAGAAGTGCAAAGTGTCCTTATGGGTCACTAAAGGCTGAACTGATGAAACAGCGAATGTGAATAACTTCATGAAAGGCTGAATTGCTAATCAGCAAATTGGTATATAAGGAAAAATATCTGCCTCACACGTAAGTTAAAATTTATTAAGAAGTTACTCCAATAATAACCACAAAGAACATCAAGTTCTTTTACTAGTTTAAAAGCTCACTGTTTAGAAAAGCCAAAATGAGAATGTGGGTCAGCCAGGACTGCTGAGGTATTTATTACACAAGAGACAGCTCCTAGATGTACACAAACAGTGGGACTGAGCCTCAGCCACTGCTGCCCGTGGGATAGACTCATGTCGGAGAAGTTCATGGAGAACTGTCTCCCATGGGAGGGATTCCACACTGGAGATGGGGAAGGACTCCTCTGCCTGAGCAGCAGCAGGAACAATGTGTGATGAATTGACCATAACCCCCATTCCCTGCCTCCCTGCATGGCTGACAGGGGAGGACATAGAGCTGGGAAAGAGGGAGGGATGGGGGAAAGCTGGTTTTAAGATTTATTTTACTTCTCATTACCCTGCTCTGATTTTGTCAGTAATAAATTCCATTAATATTCCCAAGTTAAGTCAGTTTTGCCCATGATGGTATTTGATGAGTGATCTCTCCTGGACCTTATCTCAACTGATGAACTTTTCATCATGTTTTCTCTCTCTTGTCCAACATTTTCATTATGTTTCCTCCTTTGTGGAGGGGAGTGATGCGGCTTTGGTGGGTGCCTGGCGTTCAGCCAGGGTCAACTCACATCAGTTTTCACCTTCATCTGCCATATCACCCATTTCTAAACTCATGAACTTGTATGTTGACCCCTCCAGTGGCTGGCAGAACTCATGACTACTCAGCACTAATGTTCAGCTGTCTAAGAGGATTATTCTAGTTGATTTGGAATAGTCAGATCACCATGAGGGAATGCTCTTCTAGTTCCACAGCCTGGTTCCCAGACTGAAACCAGTGAGAGAAAAACCCAAATCACATTTTTATATGGTAGTAAAGAATGCTGAATATTCAGTACAGCCCGATAGTTTACAGACAGTGTTTAGCACATTCTAATTGGAACTGCCTACTCACCAGAGCCCAGTAGCTTGGTGTACACAGTCTCATGAAAGATGATAACACCTGGACCCAAAGTTGACAGAGGAACATCTAGGCCACAGCGGGCTGTGGTGGCTTTTAGCTCCTTGGTGAAGTGTTTTAAATAAGCCTCTGAGGCATCACCAAGGAATTTGAAGAGGTCATTGTGGAGCCTGTCAGCACGGGTACGGTAGATGACGAGGTCAGAGATGGCCAGGACCTTCAGCAGCAGCCGTGTTCTCTGGCTCAGGTTCACAGTGGCCCCCAGCAGGCCCTCTGTATCAATGACCACCACTTTGCGGACAGGGTCGTAGGCTGCCCAAACTCCAACTGTGCAAGACTCCTGGGCAGGAGATGTCTTGAAGACTTCCCGGCCATAGAAGAAAGTGTGGTTAAGGGTGTGAGACTTGCCATCCCCTGTGTTCCCAAAGATGGACACTACCTTTAGGTGCTGGTCAGGACTGCAGTCCAATTTCTTAATAAAGTCCTCTTCATTCCTTACCTTCCAAAACAAAAAGAGAAAAATATTATAACTATGTAATTGGAGTAGACAACACTGAAAACACAGCTGGTTTCAGGATTCATAAGATTAAAAACAGTGATTACCTCCTCTTCAGATTTCACCACAAGTTTCTGAAGCACCACAAGTACAAAGCAAAACACTAGAATGCAGTTTTGTAAAATGTACGCATTGATGGGATGTATGTTGTTCCATCATGTAGCTGTTTTGGAAGTGTTGCCTCGCTGTAATTATGTATCTAGTCAACTCTCTAGTACCTCACCCCATTCTCTGAGACAGCCCTTTCAGAGAAGGGAGCACAACACTACTTCCAAGTCTGTCAGAACAGCTATCTGGAGCATGGCAGACTTTCTCAATGGTCTTGGTTCATGGAGCATCAGTCTCCTTGCAAGCAACTAAGCTCAGGTGTGAAAGAGGGGATTGCTTTTACCACTTTAACTTGCCTCATCCACAGAGGCTGAGCACCTGTTTAGGAAGAAAAATCTCTGCCATGCACTCATGCTGCATCTATCCACAGCCAGGGGCTCTCAGGCACAGGCTGTCCTATTCCCACTGCTCTCCAGATGATCAATCCTTCAGCTGCAAAGCAGGAGCAGAGAAGAAGCAGCAAAACTGTGCACTGGAGTTAGGCGCTCAAAGCAGGTCAAACTGGTTCTCACAGAAGTGCCACAACTACCTCAATAATCCACTTCATAATTTATTGTATTGTACTTTCATAAACAAATAAAACAAAAGAACACACACATACAAAACCAAAAGAAGTGCTGGTAACTTCTCTTTAGCTTTACATAGTTTAAATGTCAAGCATCATGCTGTCTAGGCTAGAGAACAGGGCATTTTCTGTTCAGATACTGGAGCAACAGGAGCAGATAAACAAGCAGTGAAATGAGCTAAGGTTCTGTACAAGATCCTGCCCTGACCTTGTTGCAGAATAGATCCTTGGCTTCTACAGGTTTCATGCTTCATTCATTTATTTAGTGCTTACTTTTTTTTCTTTGAAGGAAAATAAAAATCAGCCAGAGTGCCAGATTGTGTTTGGGAACAGCGTCCACAAAGAAAAGCTGTGGGCTTGCAGTAGCTTCTCACAGACTCAAACTATTCAAGGCAGCCTCACAGAGTAGAAGAAAACAGGAAACAAGAGACATCAAAATGCTCTCAACAGAATCTTTCCTGGTATCTGGGAGAACATCAAGATACACTGAAATTACAGGGGCACAAGAAAGGGTCTGCTTTCTTGGTAGCTGTGATTATTAGCTTATCATCAGGAAGATGCAGCTTAGATGATAGATGCAGTTTTGCTTAGTGTCTCTTAAGATGTCTCTGTGGATGAAAGGAAGTTCTTGGTTCATGGAAAAGCTCCTAAAAACATCCACAGATTTGACAACATGAAAATGTTATGTGAACATAAGCAAAAGGGAATATGATAATATCTTCTTCAAAATGTTTTGTATTTCATGCCCACCTCCCAAACTTCTCACCAAAAAGGTGACATGTCCTTTTTGACAGAGTCAGTAATTATGTACTCCCTAGACAACACCAAAAAAAATAATCAATTTTCAAACAGTTGCTTAAGTATTGGCAGGACAGCTAATGACTAAGATCTTTTAGCCAGCACTAGAATTATTACTTTGGTAACAGTTCAGGAGAGAGTTTGTGGAACAGGCTGAGCCAGTAATGTCAGAAGACACAAAGGACAGTAGAGACCATAGGAATAAGGGTAACTCTGAGATATATTCCCACCATTAAGAGACAAGGAGCCAATTCAAAGTTACATCGAATATCAAATCACGTACCCAAAGCTATTGCTTTCTAAGTTATCTCCTTCTAGGCTTTTGGAGACCTCCTTTCAGGACAGAATTCTGGAGTTATTTTAATAAGCTAGTTACCCAGGAGCACAAGAATGCACCAAAGTCTAGCTAGTGCGATGCTTACATCTCACAGGACTTGGTAATGAATGAAAAAGAACTTAAGGCATGAAATGAGTAAATGTTTCCTAGCATTCACCTGAACACTTCACCAGTGCTCAGAAGTCAGATGACTTCCTGGGCAGTGGCTGCACTTAGATGCTCATGGTTGGTAGAGAAACAGTAAACCTATCCTCCCTTTTAGAACCTAGTCATAATTTTGGATCCTGCAACATATTTATAATAAATTCCATGTGGGGGGAGAAGCAACAAAACCAAAAACAAGCCAAAATGACCAAAAGAAGCCCTTCCCTTTGAAGTTGAATATGCTTGTACATCACTGGGTGCTCCTTGCTCTTGTGCACTAGTTGACTGTAACCAATGCTGAGTATAGGAATGATACTCTGAAAGAACCATCCATAACCATCTCTGTATCAGTAGTCAAGTTTACTTCCCTTGAGCAAGCTCCTTTAAGACATTTGAAGTCAGAGTGGGTGTAATAAGTGTCAAATCCCTATACTAATACTAACTAGGATACTAATCCCCACTTCTTCATTTTGCTTCTCATCTCTAAACCAAATTGGTATGGTACCAGCTTCTGTTGCATGTGCAAAGACTCACGTTTCCATAACTGTGTCCACTTCTGCATTGCACAAGAGCTCCAGATCTCTGACAATCACAGCAGAGAGTAAATACGAAACCTTCCTTATGTTGCACAACAATGTCAATTAAGGACGAAAACTGTATTTCTAAACCAAGACAAAAGTAATATCTCTTCAGCCCCTTCTTGATTTTGCCATTTCTAGTATCAGAAACTCATTTACACTTTTGTTATAGCTCTCAAGAGACTCTCTTCTAAAAATAACAGTTTTTACTGCATCATATGTTAGAATTCTGGTTAGCGTTCTTTAATAGTTTTAACAATTGCTTTTAGCAATAGTAGTTTTTCATTTTAGTTGCTTTTAGCAGCTGTCATCCAGCTCCCCATGCAGTCCTTTCACCCAAATTCAGCTGAACTGGAGGTGAAGGTCTTCAATGGGGAAAAAGAGAGAACTTGACAGCTGAAGTCCTCTATAAGGAGGACACAAAAACTCATAGCATGCTGCAGTAGAGCACATTTAGAAATTAAGTCTCTTTATCACCTATACTTGGAAATCTATTGTACCTAACATAACAAGTTTTCTAAATCTGAGCCCTAAGAAAAGTAGAATTGTTTAGAAACAGAACTGCTAAAATTACATTCCAGCCTATGCATTTCTTGGTAACAATGTTATTAAAATAAAAAGGTGTTAAAAAGCCTAGGAACAAAAATCTATAAAATAGAACAGAGTTTCCAATAACCTGTACTCGTACAACATTAAATCTGCCTCCAGCAAAACAAACACATTAAGAGAATCAAACATTTTTACCACAGTTTTCTCCTTTTAAGACTCCTTATGAACCCTTTAGAGCTTGCAAATATTCATGGAAATGGTGCACAAAGACAGAGTTGTGCCACAACACACAAAAGCTCAAAACAAAAATCAAGAATGCTTGGCATAGTATTCATCAGAGCGCCTTCATTTGCTAGTCTTACACTGTCATTTAGGCTTATGTTGGTACTTTTGTTGTTGTATTTTGAAGTCTTACTCATTGCTTGACCTGGTTTTAAAATAGTATTTTTAATAACAAAAATATATTTTCTGCAATCAAGAAAGAAGTCATCATATAACTAACTAAAGTATTGAGTCAAGGGTTGTCAGGCATGGGAACAGGCAGCCCAGGGAAGTGGTGGAGTTACCATCTCTGAAAGTATTCAGAAGACGTGTAGATGTGGTACTGAGAGACAGTTTACTGGTTGACTTGGCAGTGCTGAATTAATAGTTGGACTTGATGATCTCAAAGTTCTTTTCCAACTTAAGTGAGTCTATGATCAGACAAACAGCACACAACAGTGTCTTCTGACAACCACTAAGTCAGTAAGAATTATAAAATTAAATTATATAAATTTAACACCTTTCTCAGTGAAGGGAACAGTAAACTACAAGATTTGTAACAGCACATCCAAATGTATACCAGCATAAAATTACAAACATCTGAGACAAATCAGTACAAGCGATCAAAATAATCAAGTCAAAAAAATAAGAATCTACTTTAAAGCACTGTAATATTATTTACTTAATTTACCTTACTTAACACTGGCAATAAAAGTAATGCTGCTCACAGTTCAGAAAATATTTTTAAAAGATAATGCTTACAAGAATTCAAACACCTTAAATCAGAAGGAGAAATGGCAAAGCAAGCTAAAAGAAGATCTGCAAACCTTTCAAGCAGTCTTGAACTTCCAAAATAAAACAGAGACAATATTAGGTAATTGATCTTAAGGACAGAGTATCATATCAATTACTAAACCTGGAAATAGAACAGATCTGTCAGATCTGCCCAGCTCAATGTAGCCCAGTTCTTGAAAGCACTGTTTCTAAATCTGTGTTTTAACTCCAAAAAACTGTGCTCCTTTCCAGAAGTAGATTCATAAAAAAGTGTTTTGGGTACATGTCTAAAGCCCCAAATCCTACCTTTAGGTCATTAAATCCCAATTTCAGTGTACATTGAAAATAAGAAAGAAATCCATGAAGCAGATTTCTTCCTTTAACTACAGCCAGTAAGACTAACCTGAGAAGAATAAGCTCCACCACAGTAAAGTGCCACCACAAAAATTCACATCTCTGCAATGCTCCTCACAATCACGCCTGAAAAGGCAGTGCACGAATGCAGTGAAGTGTAACTGGCTTAACCCAGCAACTCAAGTGCAACAGGCTATTAAAAATACAACTGGAAATTCTCTACTTTTGCCCCAGAAGAAATTTTTGTTGATATCCACAAGTGTCTCCTGTCATCAAGTGACAAAAGAGACAGTTACCTGTGAGGAAGAGAAACTTTCTGCTATGAAACCCATAACATCAACAGAGCTGTGAGACAGGCCCTAAACCACAGTAATTCAAATCCTTTGTCCTCTAAGATCTTAGGCTAATTCAGGTTGAAAGGGACCTCAGGAGACCATTACTTCCTCTGACTTTCAGAGTATTCCAAACAAGAGAG